TAAAATTTAATTACAAATTTAATTACAAATAACAACTCATGAATTTGTAATAATTTTGTGTAATCACCATTGTGTGATAATTTCTCTTTTATAATTTTACTTTTAAAAATAAGACACGTATCATTCATATGAGTATTTGTCACTAACAATTGGGTATCAATGGAGAAATTTGAGATAAAATAAAAAAAATTCAAGACAAAAATTGATCAAACTAAAATTAGAGAGACCAAAATAATACAAGGATTAGAATACATAGACTAGCAATGTAATTTGTCCATTTATTTATGTCGCTTGTCATATTTACCAATTTTGCACCAACAGTTGCCGCACAATTGCACTCCAAATTCATCCCACTGAGACCCTTCGGGTGACATTCATGGTCGATGTGCGAGGCAAGCCTGGCCTGAACTTGCCTCCTGGTTACTACGGCAACTCATCTGTCTCTCCAGCGGCAATTTCAAAAGCTGAAATGTTGTGTAAAAATCCACTAGAATATGCAGTAGAATTGGTTAAAAAAGCCAAGGCTCGTGTGACCGAAAAATACATAAGGTCAGTGGCAGATTTCTTGGTGGTCAAGAGACGACCTCCATGTTCAAGATCATGGAATTTCATTGTTTCCGACACAACACATGCCGGTTTTGGAGAGGTTGATTTTGGGTGGGGGAAGCCTGTGTATGGAGGTCCTGTTGGTGGCACATCTTTTAGTAGCCCCTATGCATTGTTTAGGAATGGTGATGGAGAGCATGGGATTGTGGTGCCTGTATGTTTGCCTGTGGCTGCTATGGAAAGGTTCAAGGTGGAGCTTTGGAGAACGACTATGGGGACTAATGGGGATTCACATGTTGTAGAGCCCATTAAGATTTCCTCTATGCTCTAAATCAAATCAGTTGTGCAACCCTATTACTCTTCTGTATCAGTATAGTTGGGATAAGTCAGTATTACTATGATGCTTCACATACTGCCCTTTTCTTTATTGATATATGTCTAAGTATATTTTGTATTTTGGATTCTTATCAATAAAATTTTCATTTTACTGATACAAAATAAAAATAAAAAAAGTAAAATTAATCCAGTTGTATTTCACTATGTCGTGAGTTTTGATTTTGTAATTTTGGTTGTATAATAATCAGTGAAGGAATAGAGATAGGAAAAGTTACGCATTATACAACAGATGACACCTGATTCTTAACATCAAACATCTGGTGAATTTTTATTTTCATGTGGCTCTGTTTTTGCCTAGGTGTTGTCGGGCTACTTGTTTGAGATTCAAGTGTTAACATTAGATGTGATTGTTAAAATAATTTGTACATACAGGTTCAAATATGAAAATAAATAGTTTTAAAATTTTGCACAAGTAAAAATATGAACAATTTATCCATAAGTCCTAGTTTCTGAAAAGTTGAACCATTTAGTCCTAAAAGTTTTCTTATGCTCCATTTAGTCCCATTTGCACATCAATCTAATGTTCGAAACATTAATCTGATGCTCGAAATCTAATGTTCGAAACATTAATCTGATGTTTGAAACGTTGTAATGGGACCTTTCAGTCTATAAGAAAACTTTTAAGACTAAACAGTGTATAAGTTATTAATTTGGGATTTATTGATGCATTCCCCTAAAAATATTGGTATACATAAATTAAAATAATTTTAACAGATTGTTGTATGAAGGTATAAATTTTTTTTATTTATGGTGTTAAAACTTCAACGCATCATAACTTTGCGTTCAATAATCGGTTTGGGCAATTCCTTTTTTTTTTTTTTTTTTGTTTTGATCTCATGTGTTTTTTCAAGATCTATCCATGTAAAATTACCAAAGTCAATTTTGGGCATTTATTTTCATTAAAAAAAAAAAAGTCAATTCACTCTTTTGATTAACCAAAAAATAATAATTATTATTTTTTTGGAATGTTATATTTAATATTAATCTTACTCGAAAGATCTCGAAAACACAAATCCAAATTTAAATTTTGTTAAAAGCGGAAGTATAGATTTCAAGTTATTAGATATATTTATTTATTATTATTATTATTTTTTGGATACAAATAGGGGTGTAAAAATGGCCCTCAACCCAAGGGTGGCTTGAAACCCGCCTGCGGCCCGAGATGGGCCTGGCCCGTTTAGGCCCAAACCTGAGCCTCTGGGTCATCGTTTTGAGGCCTAGCTCATCGATCCGCTTAAGACTCACTCAAGGCCCGGCCCAAAGCCCAGTGTATTTTTTAGTAGAAAATAATAAAATTTTAATAGAAAAAAATTTTGAAAAAACAAAAAAATTTGGTCAGCCCGCCCAATGCCCGAATATCTCCTGAGTCTAAGCTTAATTTTTTGACCCGTGAGCCAACACAACCTGGCTAAATTTTGACTGGAGACCAGACTTATACCCATAGGCATGGATTTGAAAACCGGACCAGACCGGCCGGTTCGACTGGTTGAACCATCGACCGGTCCGGATGGACCCTCTAAACCGGCCAGAATTGAAAACCGACGTTTTTAGCGAGAACCGAAAAAATCGGCGGGTGAACCGGTCGACCCGGAGCCGGTTCGCCGGGTTGATCCGGATCGGAATTTTTTTTTTTTATTTTCTTTCTTTATATATATATATAATATAAGAATATAAGAAAATTTTAATTTGAAACTCTTTTTCAAGGGTCTCCTCTTGTGAGGAATCCCATTAAGAGTTGTGTGAAATATTGTGAAACTCTTCACCTATTTATAAGAAAAACTCTTTCAAAAAAACTCAAGAAATCCATGTGGGATAATCGAATGTATTGGAGGAATATTGAAATTTTGATATCCCTCCAAAAATTTTGCTTTTCTTTCAATCAAATATTGAATTAAAATCATATGGAGGGAATATTAAATATTTGATTTCATCTTCCAAATTGAAATTAATAATAATTTTAAAAATAATTATTATATTTTTCAGTAAAAAAATATAAGACAATATTTAAGATAATTTAATATTTTTATTTATTTATAATTTATAATTACAATTTTTAATTATATAATACTTATTATGCCGTCTCGGTTTAACCGCTTTGACCCAACGGTTGAACTGGTGACCCGTTCACCCGATCCTTTTTTCGGTTCACTCACCGATCCAATTTTTAAAACATTGCCCATAGGTACAAAATACGAAAGTGTAGGTTTCAAATTTTTTATTTTTTATTTTTTATTATAAACGGAAGTGTAGATTTCAAGTTATGCTACAGATGTCAAGAATTATACACGGCATGTTTCGACTTATCCACCGAGAAGTGCCTTGCGTGTGTCTTTCTTTATACCAAAAATCAAAACTTAGACCTCCGTCCCAAACCATTTCATGGATTGGATTTTTTCCCATTTTTTCTTAAATATTTTCTTCACTAACAAAATAAATAAAGAAAAATTACAAATAAGATATATACTCTACAAAAATAATTATTTACACATAATTTTTTATAATTTTAATAATTAAAATTTATAAACTTTATTATTATTTTGAAAATAAAATTTCACTATTAGAGCATCTACAATGGGATAAATAAAAAAGTGTGTTAAAGTGTGTTATATGACAAAAAAGTGATAAATGTAGGGTCCAAAAATGTGTGTTAAGATATATTAAGAATTTATTAATTTTAGAGAATAAGTAATGGTGCAATAAATGCGTTAAAGTGTGTGCTAAGAATAAATATATATAATAAATAAAATAACCATTGTTTTGTTTCTGCTGTCGTTGCTACTCATGATGATGATGATGAAAATTGTCAATTGCTTGCTTCAAATTTGCAACAAATTGTGGTCGGAAAGTTTCATTTGTTGAAGAATTTTGCCCAATATCACATGGATTGTGAGGAGTTGAGTCTTGTGTACCACCACATGACATAAATCTGGCAAAAATTTACTTTGTTTCTGGACTTGAAGGCCAAGGACTACAAATTGATCACAATTTTCTCCACCACCACCACTAGTGTTGACGAGCCTTGCAAAATAGGAACTCGGCGTAGATCGATACCTCACCAATCTAGAATTCCTCATTGGTTGTTGCTGTTGCACTTGTTGACTATCATCACTACATTCCTCACCATGAAACCTAAAATTCGAATCTAGAAGAACAACCTAGCAAAACAACAACAGAACAGCAAGGGTCCGGACGTCCGGCCTGACATCTAGTCAAACGACCTCATTGCACTTTCTAGCGTCCATCTCTCCCCCCTGTGTGTGTGTGTGTTTGTGTTTTTTTTCTCTCTCTATGTTTTTCTTTCTCTTTTTTCTCTCTTTCTCGCTGGCTAGAAGACTCGCTGCAGTTAACAAATAAATTAACAACTGACACTAATGGCTAACACTAACACACCCCATAACAGCTCTATTAGAGTATCATTTGAGTCGTTCACTAGCTAAAATATTAACAACTGATACTAACACTAACACGTCCCTTAGCAGTTTCACTGTGAATGCTCTTACCTAATTAGTTACTCTCCTCCCCCCTCCAAAAAAAAAAAACAAATGCCTTCACTTGGTCACCATGCTCTCACCACTGCTGGAAATTTCACATTTAGTGGCGTTTTTCAAACGCCGCTATAGGTATAAAAAACGCCGTTAATTCTTTTTGTGACGTTTAGTACCAAACGCCGAAGATGCGGCCGTCGCTATAACATTATGACGCTTTAAAAACGTCACTAAATTAGTATAGATGGCGTTTTTAAAAACGCCGCTAAGTGTGGTAAATACGGTAAAATGACGTCATCTAATATTTAGCGACGTTTTAAAAACGCTGTGACAAATTTTTTTATTTTAAAAATATGACTTGGCACTGTAGTGGCGTTTCGAAAAACGCCGTTATAGCCTCGTTTTTTTTTTTTTTTTTTCTTCTTTATAGATTGTGCATTCTGTTAGATTTCAAAACCAAAATCAACCAAAAATTAAAAAGAAAAAATATTCTAAACCAAAATCAAGCAACAAACACAACCAAAAAATAAAAAGAAAAAATATTATATCACACACATGTATTGCAGACCTATCAAATAACAAATTCAACACGACAAGCAGAAAAATATAATTTCAACAGAACTTCTACATCAATTTTCTAGAATCTTGGTTAGCACAGTAATAAGCAAATAATTGTAAGGCATTGTAGAGACGGTCTCCAAAACAATTGAGTTTGCTACACATGTATAGAAACAACTAGGCCAATGATTTAATGCAAATCTTGACCACAAAAGCTAGAGAGAGAGAGAGAGAGAGCAGCAAATTTTATGTGAAAGAAAATATGCTGTATGGACATATTAGACCTCTGATCCTCATCAATCTTCAAGCAGACATCGATTCCGCCTAGCACCAAAAGCAAATCTCTACACAATACGGCCAAAAAACAAAAGGATTAATAACCACAATTTAAATATAGAAAACCAAGAATCAAAAGTTCTTTTCATTTTTTTTTTCCACTTAACTGAGAATATCTGCGAGTATGCTTTCAAGCCAGTAAGGAATCGAATGTAAATGGGCTTGCTCAATCCATTGGCAGGGACAGATCTGATGTTTGGGACGAGATACTCTGCTACCTACATGCATGCCCTCACTCGCATAAACACACAGGCGCATGCACACACAAGGCGAGTTGAATATGGTCAAAACTTACACATCACATTTGAATATGATCTTCAGAAGTCCGGTTTTCTTTTTTTTCTTCCCAAATTCATTTGAGCACTCACACATAATTCAGTCAGTAGTTGATCATAGCCTAGAATGTTGTGTCTAAATGGCTCATCTCTAAGTCTTGTATGTGCATTTGCCTATTTGGAAAACCTAACCATATGATTTATTTCATCGAACATCACAATCCATAATCATGAATTCAGATGACTATTGAAACAAAGCAAGCACCTAAAACTCAAAAACAAGGAATTAAAAACACTGTTTGTACATCACTCCCTTAGGTAGATCACCACATCAATAAACTCTTACCACTTCTGCCGGTTCTACCAAAACATTAATGAAAAACTTGGCCTGTAATAAATTAAACGCTTTCACTTGATTGATCCAAAAGCTTCACAAAAGAAATCAAGGAAATATGCAATACACATTCCACCTGCTTTGTAGAAGCTCCAGACAACAGAAGATCAGTTGTTACCATTCCCGGCTGCAGCCAACAAGAGGGAAAATTATTTAACAACGCTTTCACTTGATTGATCCAATGACCCATTACCAATGACACAAGTCCAAAAAGCATTAGCTCTGCCAAAATAAAAGGCAGGACATATTTGAGATGAATGAAAACAACTTTGAAATGCTATTAGAGATCATTGTCCATTTAGGACATATTTGTTAGGATGGATTAGATTAGATGAAATTAATGTCTGTTAGCTTTAGAATTATTGGTCTCTTTAAATTGTGTATTATATCCCATGTTTTGACTAACTTATGATTATGAGAAGAAAAATGTTAAAAACAGTTTTAAAGCCTATTAGTAGGGTTATGTATGAACACTCTATCCGGAACTTGCTACAAGATGTAATATTTTCCACGTTAAGTTCTATAAATTACCAAGAAAATAATGAAAATGTCCGAGTTCATTACCTCAGGCTTGAGGTCACGGTGAACTACACCTTGGAGATAACAGTAGGTAACCACACTCAAAATCTGTACCACGACAGCCATTGCATCTTCTTCCGAGTATTTTCCACCTCTACAGAACATAAATCAGAAATTTATATATCTCAAATCTTGGTTACAGGAAGTGATTCTCTAGTAAGAGCAGACTACAAATGTCAGAGACATATTAAATATCTCAAACCCTGGAAAGTAAATTATTTTGAAGAAATCACTGGCTCTTTAAATCGTAATGAAGTTGTAAGAGCTAAGAACTTGAGGGTTAGATGTAAAATTTTGTTTTCATAGACCTTATCAACTTCCACTAGATGCAGAACTCTGAAGACTGCTTACAACACCTATCCAAGCAAAAGAAGTGCACAACAATTTTTTTATTTTTTATTTTTTTCAACTAGACTGTGTATGTAAAAGTTGAGATAACTCATATTTCGGAGTGAATCACATGCCTGATCAATTTTAGAGGATCTCCTTCAAGAAGGTGTGCATCAGCAGGTACAATGTCCCCAAGTTTGATGCTTACTATGTCACCAGGAACTAACACTGAAGCATCTTCCTCACTCCACTTCTCGTCACGCAGGACCTGGTAGGAGTAATTAGAGAGTCAAATATAAGTCATTCCCTTACTTATGTTGAAAGTTCAAGAGAGAAAAAAGGAAATAGAAATAGAAAACAAAATTTTTGATCTGTATTTATTCGGGAAGAGGGAAACCTTGGCTTTTGGAGCTAATCGAGCCATAAGAGCAATAGCCGCATTGCCAGCATTATTTTCCTCAATAAAACTGATGGTAGAGTTGATAATGAGCAAGATCAAGATGCCAAAGAAGTCATGATAATCTGTGCCCTTATGCTGCACAAAATAAGGTTTGTCAGTATGGAATAATCTTAAATTGTCTTGCGCGCGCGTACATATAATAATGAAGCTTTGACTAAACACTACAGGAAAAAGAGGTTTAGGTGGCGTTTTTTTAATGACGCTTTTTAAAACGTCACTTTTATTAGTATTTAATGACGTTTTATAAAACGTCACATAATTCTTTATTTAAAACGACACCGTTTTATAATTGGAGGCGTTTAAAAACGCCTCCAAATGTGGTGTGCTTCACGCGCTTCCTCTCTCACTCTTTTCAAATTCTAATTTTGAATCTGAGAAATATTATGCCCAAATCTCCACAGCGCTCTCTCTCTCTCTCTCTCTCTCTCTCTAAGCCCTTATCATTCTCAGAGCGATTTCGAGATTCAGAGGCTCCACCGCCATCACCATCTGCACCGGCGAGGTAGGTGAGCTCTCTTTCTCTCTCTAAATCTCTCTCTCTCTATTTCTCTCTCTCTCTCTCAACCCTCTCTAAACTCTTATCATTCGCAGAGATTCAGATCGGTCTTAGTGATTTCATCTCAGAGCGATTTCGATTTCGATTTCGAAGCTCCACCTCCACCACCATCTGCACCATCGTCTACTAAGGTGAGCTCCGCCGTCTCTCTCTCTCTCTTTGAAACTCTTCCTCTCTCTCTCTCTCTCTCTATTTCAGTGATTGATGAGTTGTATGTGCTCTGTTTCAGTAATTGTTTTTCACTGATGAGTTGGATGTGCTGTAATGTCAGTTTTGGCATTCACTTGATTCATTTGAGATTCATTTGATTTTGCTGTGATATCACTCCATTTCATTTGATTTTGCTTTGATTTTCCTGTGATTTTGCTGTGGTGGTAGAAAATACAGGCATTCACCCCATTTGTAATCTCTATTTCTTGTTTTTTGTTAAACTTGTGGATCTATTTGGTTTCTGTTTCTATACTGGTTTCTAGGGTTTTGTTTTGTGTTTTCAATAACAAAGGAAGAAAAAAAAATGAAATCTTTCAAATATAGAGTTTCAGAAAATCTTTCAAAAAAAATGAAAGCTGGTGTTTCTGCTCTAGCTCATTTGGATGATTGATGGTTTGGGATATTTCTAAACTCTAGCATAGCACTGAATATTTTATTAATTTATTTTTGGAGTATTGAAATTTGGTTGGTGCACTCTGTTGAAGCTTTATTGTTACACAATTAGCTTTATTTGCATTTGAAATTGCATGATGTCTTGTTCAATTAGCATTGTTCAGATTAGATAGCTTCCAAGCAATTTTCCCTCTATAATTCATATCCTATACTTTCGAGGAGGTAGCTAAACAATCAAAGCATTATGTAATACTCAATCTTGATGGCTTATATAAAATTGGTTCATCTGGTATGGTCGTTAGGTCTGGAAGTTTAAAGATGAAGCTTCAACAAAGAGCTTAGAATGTAGAATTTGCTAAAAGTCTCACCCTCTTTAACCTCTAGAGGAAAAAAAATCTATTGCCTCTCTTTCTTTTGACTTTTTAATCTATTTCCCCTTTTCATTGCATATGTGCATAAAAATTAAAAAATAAATAAATTCCATTGCTAGGTTCATACATTTGAAATTTTAGGGTTTCCTGTCTTTGAGATGAATGAAAACAACACAATGTTTCTCTCATTCATGAATTCTGTGGATGTCTTACAAGTTTTTTGGGGAAAAATCTCATGTACACAAAGTTTTAAGGATTTGTATACCCTGAAAGTTTTTAAATTATGATTAATTTTTTTAATTATAACTAATGAAATCTTTAATTATATCCCATATCATTTTCAATTATGATAATTTTTTTTTAATTATGACTTATTCTTTTTGAACATTACTCGGGTTAACCCGACCCAAAATGCACCCTTAAAAACGAAAGCAATTGATTAGGGTACCAAACAATGTAGAATCAGAGCTAGAGGCTGAAGTCGAGTCCCCTAAAGAAAAGAAGACAAAACCCAAAAACATCCAATCCCATGAGAATTCAGCATCAAGGGCTGAAAATGTATATGCCCAAAGTACCGACTTAAGTGCTGAAATGCTTTGCTTGGATACACAGCCAAATAAAGGGGAGCCCATGTTTCCATTGGATCGTGATTTAATATCATCTGGCAGTTTTGGTCATTTAGCTATGTATGAGTGTTCCAAGTATGAATCCATATGCTTTGGTTCTCTATTTATCCTAAATCCTAATGTATAGCTAACAAACATATGATCATGTTCATGTTGTATGTTTGAGATCTCTAAACAATGCAATGTTCTTGAAACTACTTGTTTTGTATGCAGGAATGGACCAGTTTATTGGTAAAATGGAAGTTCCAGGGAGCTTTAGTCCTTATCAGCACGGGGAAGCACATGACATCATCGAGTGATGCACACAGGTGCTATTTTGTTGCTTTGGATTGATCAGAAGCTTATTGAACTTGAGGATAATGGACTATATATCTCTACATTAAGAAGTCGGTTAACTAGGGAACATACGAACCATAGATAGCACAATTAATATCTACATACTCTGAAGTTTATGATTTGTCAAGACTTGTTAGGGCTGAGAATCTGTGAATTTCTATGAAAATGAATTTCATAGTTTAATGAAATATACTAGTAGTTAGTAACTGTGACACTTCATAGTGCTTGTTGAATTTTCCATCCCGATTGTATAAGCGTGTTGCTAATATGCTATGGTTGGCATGGTTGAATCTATGTTTGTATGTATTGAATTGAAGTAACTTAATGTGAACACCAAAGTATTTGTGTTTCTCATTACTTGTTTTTTTGGTCTAGTTTTAGATCTTATTGAGGATGTTCTCAATTATTCTCATATGACAGACTGAGAATGGGTTTTGTTTCCTCCACGCCTCCCATGTCCTTGACCATAAGTGCCACTACTAATCTCCACTAGAACCATTCTCGTTCTTGCTCTGTCATCAAACTAGCAATCTAGCTTGTTTGATTCTAGTACCAATTTTAGTGAATCAATCTTTCAAAGGAACATTTTGCTTTCAGCCTTGGTTTAGTTTTTGTCAACCGATGTTTTGCTTTCACAAAAAACATTTTGAATCTATGTTTTAAGGATTTGTATACCCTCATTCATTGATGGCACTGAATTTTAACACTCTTAGATGTTAATAAAATCTCAAAAATTAATTGCTATAATTATTATTTTGGTTCTTGAAATCTTGATTTTTACTTCTACAATGTTAGATGACTTGATTGTTGAACTATTCTATGTTTATATTCATTACTGTTTCATTTCAAAATTTGATGGTTTTAAAATTTGATGCCCTTGTTTATATTCTATGTTTATATTCATTACTGTTAAACCATCAAATTTTGAATGTTGAAATCTTGATTTTTACTTCAAAATTTGATGCCTTTGAGTAATGGAACAACTTGCACAAGCCAATCTTCAAACACACACTTCAAAATAACAAACCTAACCTAGTTACTCTTACAACCATGCCCAAAACTCTACACATTGAGTCAACTCTGGTGAGTGTCCTTTGTTCGATTCTTCGTCGTCTTCTTCATCATCGTTTTCTAATTAGTAATATAATAACTTCGGTTCATTGGTTTTTTTTCTCTCTCTCTCTCTTTGTAGTTTTCTTCTTCATAACAAAAACAAAAAGAAAAAAGTCTTCAAAAGCTTACAACCAAAGTTTTAAATATCAGTCAATATATACTAAACTAAATCAAGACTTAAATTTTTTAATATTTATTAATATATTGGTCGATATTATTTGATATTAGCTCATATAACGGTATTGTTGATTCTAGTACATATTCTGAAATTAGCTTACAACCAGAGTTTTAAATATCGCTAGATTGATAGTTTTAAGGCTGGAATCAACACACTTATTAGCCACTAACTCAACAAGAATCACTCTTCCTCGCATGAAAGCACTATGGGATTCTGAGATGAGCTGTGCAATTGCCTTCCTCAATCTCAATGCTAACACTGGCAATAATTTTATAGACATTGTCAATCAATTTAATAGGTCTCAATCTTGAATGTCCACTACACCCCTTTATTTGACATGGGGTAATGAAGGAGGCATTCGTACTCATCTCAAACTCTTGTCCCAAAAAAGCATGTAGAACTGCTTGGCCGTGGAGCTTAGTCATCATTGAGGAGCCTCAATTACTTTTTCCTCTGAAAATGGTATTTTTAACTAGTTCCTGTCCTTCTCCTATAGCATACTAACCCCCAATTTTCCAATTAGGGTCCCAACATTTGGCTCAGAATCAAGCCTGCTATAGAACTCCACAATAGTTTTAGAGATATCCTCCTCCCTAGTCAAAACTTTCCCATCAACACTCAACCTGCTGATGTGATTATCTTTTCTTTGTGCATTAGCCATTCTGTTAAAGAAACCGGTGTTTGGCACTTTGTGTTGCAAAAAAAATGCTTCAGAGGGAAGTGTTTATGTTGATTTCTTTTCAGCATTGTCTGATCTTGACATTTTGGCAGGTTGCAAAATGTGTAATGACCTGTGTGACTCAAGAAGTAAAAGATCTTTACCATCTTTTGGACCATGAGTTTCTCCCTCTAGATCTTGCATCAAAAGTGCAGCCTTTGTTAACCAAAATTTCCAAACTTAGGGGAAAGCTTGCTTCAGCATCTTCTGTACCAGAGGTCCATCTATCTTAATACATTCCCATGCTGGAAAAGCTTGCCACTCTAAGATTGCTTCAGCAGGTACACGGGTGCTAGGTTTCATTTTCGGTACTTATTTTTTTTCCAATTTTATGCATTTTCTAAAAACTATTTTCATCGTGCTTGATACTTTTCATTTCTTGTTTTCCAGGTGTCTCAGGTGTATCAGTCAATGAATATAGAGAATTTATCTAAAATGATCACCTTTTTTGAATTTTCTGTTGTGGAGAAAATCTCTGTTGATGCAGTCAAACATAATTTCCTTGCAATGAAAGTTGACCACATGAAAGGTGTTGTTGCATTTGGTAACTCGGTAAGTAGTTCTTGTACCTTTATGTTTATATTGCTGTCTACTTGCTTTGCTGAATGTAACTTTATCATTTGCTGATGCTATACACAGAATAGTAGTAGCAATGATGTTAACATTTATGTTTATATTGCTGTCTACTTCCTTGCAATGAAAGTTGACCACATGAAAGGTGTTGTTGCATTTGGTAACTCGGTAAGTAGTTCTTGTACCTTTATGTTTATATTCTTATCCACATACGGATATTATGGTTAAATCACAATTTCACTTAATGATATATATAGGTAACAATCACACCTGAGGTTATTTCCAAAAAACTCCATTGGGAAATCATTAACAAGCTTGTTGGATTGTACTGTGAGTCACACTTGGGCAAGCGACAGCTAGCTTATGATAGAAGGAAGAGTGTCTACACTGCTAGGCCTTTGCCTTTTTCTTCCAAGGACTTTGTCATCAAGCTCGTCGACCAAGATAGAGGAGCAAGGTTATCTCTATTTTGTGGTTTCTTTGCAATTTGTTATAGTTGAGTTGTATATATATGTCTTTATTGAAGTGTGATTGGTGAAGAGCATTGAAAATAGTAACCTTATTATCAATTGCTTTTCAACTCAAATGGAAAACTAGCTTTAATCTTTTTCTTATTGATTTTGAGTAAGATGGCGGCTCTTATGTCATTATCTGGATGCTAATTTGTGCCAACAAGAAAATATGGTATGCTTTAGTTGAAGTTAATGCTATGCTTGCTTTAATTGCAGGAAGGATCGTGAATTTAAGGTCTCATTCAAATTTGTTGCTAAACCTGACATACATCATCTTCAAGAATTCATGCGTGGTAGGCAACTTGATACCTCACAAGAAACTATACAAGTTCTTGATGTGGTTTTTAGGGCAACACTGTCGATGAAGTGATTTCTCTCACTGACCAATAACTATTATTAAGTTTTTTTTTTTGGCTTGAACTCTTGTTTTGTTTCTTTTTATCTTGGTCATGTGGTATATCAATTTCTGGGAACTGGGGTGATTGATTTTGAAGCTTTTGATTGCAGTAATGCAGTTGTGGGAAGGTCATTCTTCTCTCCAAGCTTTGGTGTAGGTGACCTTGGAAATGGATTTAAATATTGGAAAGGATTCTATCAAAGTCTTCGTCCTATTCAGATGGGCCTCTCCCTTAATATTGGTAGAAATATTTTTCAATTCTCCACTCCCTCTTCCCATATTTTATGAAATATATAGCACTGGCTGAGGTTATTATGGGCCTCCAAAAATTATGATGTTGTTGATCATTCTTAATCGGGCATCTGAATGTTGTTTTGTAGATATGTCAGCCAGAGCATTCTACGAACCCATTCTTGTTACTGACTTTGTTGCAAAGTATTTCAATGTTAAGGATATGATAAGGCCTCTATCCGATCAAGAATGTCTTAAGGTATTTTTTGGTAGCTATACCTCACGGCATACAATAGGATTTTATATTAATTTGTTGAAAAGTGAATACTAAATATTTTAGGCTGAGATGGAACAAAACTGAGGGTTACGATATAGACTGAAGGTGAAGAAATAGGATTTCCATGACTAGATGCTATTCTTATAAGCATTTTACTATTTTTTCTTTTGGGTGGTAGTGGTTGTATTTCTGGTCAATATTAATATTTCAGGTTTAATGTTTTCTCTTTCCAAATTACTGGAACTGATTTTGTTTGTTATAATCAGGTCAAGAGAGCTCTCAGAGGCATTAAGGTTGAACTTGCTCACAGGAAGCATGTTCAGTGCCGTAGAATTTCAGGCTTGTCAGTTCAACCAACCAATCAGTTAACGTAAGTTAATAATCAGTATTATTTCTGTATGTGTTACACTGACATGTTTACTACATGATGAAGTGCTCTTTGTTTCCTCTAGTACATTTATTTAACACAATTGTGTCGTCATGTGAGGATATAACAAAAACAAAGAAGCACACGACTTGTTCTGCTGATGTTCTGTATCAGATTTAACAAAAACAAAGAAGCACACAATGAGTGGGAGTTAGATCAAATGGCCTCTAAATTTGTTTATGCTATGAGAGCATTATTTATTTAATTTACATGATTCTCATGTGTCTGTATTGTCTTTGGGTATGCCCTTTTCTTTATATGTATTTAGTGCTTCTTGGTATGTGATGAAATCTGCTTATTAGTGCTTCTTCAAGTTTTAAGTACTGTTTATAAGTATTGGGTACAAATTCTTCAATTTGTATTTATTTTGGTGAACCTGATTGCAGTTTATGTTCTGATGCAGACATGTAGACCAGTGAAGACTACAAGTTTAATGCTAAGACATGATTTTTGGATATATGTTAGTTTGTGGTTAATGTTAAAATATGATTTTTAGATTTTGTATATGTTAATTTTGTGGATAATGGTGATTGGATATTAATTGAATGAGAAAGTGAATTAATGCTTCATTACAGCTATTTGAAAGGGAGTTATTATTTTATGTTAGTGCTATTACAGGTATTTTTTTAATTCAATCAAATAAAATTAACACAATTTAAAAAAAAAAAAAAAAGAGGGATATGACGGCGTTTTTACAAACGCCTCTTAAACCCTGCTTACTAACGGTCATATTTTAAAAAACGATATGACGGCGTTTTTCCAAAACGTCGTTAAATATCGTCAGTGACGTCAGCATGTGTTTAGGAGGACATTTGGTGGCATTTTTAAAAACGCCACCTATACTAATATCACGACGTTTTCAAAACGCCACAAAGTTTTAGCGACGGCCGCGTCCTCGACGTTTGGTTCTAAGCGTCGCAAAAGGAATTGGCGGCATTTTTGACACTTATAGCGGCGTTTTTTAAACGCCACTAAAAGTCTGTTTTCCAACAGTGAAATGATAAGTCAACACTACACTAAAGTAAGATAAGAGCATGTAAATTTACCCCTCCATGTGCAAGAGCAATGGCCATTAAAGCTGCTGCTTCCATGACCCATGACAAAGGATTCCACATAAAGCCCAAAAACTTCAATATTTTACTTTCCTAGGGAAGAAAGAAAAGTATACAATAAATCACCGAGTGTTAAAAAAAAAATAGAGATAAGATGAGATGTGGAAAAAGAAAAGGAAGTTATCCAACATAAATTTTCCTAACCTTTTTCTCTTCAAGTTTGTTGTATCCAAACAGTTTCAACCGTTCTTGAACTGCATCGGTACTCAGACCCTCTTTTGTACATTTGAGATGTTCAAATACTTCTTTGAGGGGCATGTTCTCCTGCATGAAGCAAATTACAAATTCAATATCACCTTTATTCATGATGGACAAAGCTTGTTGTCGAGTTTGGGTAAGCAGTCAAAGTCGTCAAATTTGGACCGAAACACCCATGTTTGATTCGGCATGGCCCAATTCGGCCAATGGGCTGAAATTCGCTGCATAGCGGTGATAAGCCATTTTTGGCCAAATTCTATCATTTAGGCTTTCAAAATTTTGTTTTTGTTATTTTGTAGTTGTGGAAAGTATTCTTATAGCCATAACTTTAATAAAGAGTTTAAATTTTAACCCCGTTTGTTTGGCATAGTTCTAAGACTTTATAGTGTTAGTTTTTATTTTGTTTTATTTTTATTTTCATATAGTTTTCAGTTTTCCTTCTTGTTTCATGTTTTCTTAAGAATATGATAATTCAGTTTATAGAGTTGTAAGTGTCCATTGAAGGATAGAAACTTTAATAACATTACTGATCTTGGTATTTTCTCTTGGTGGATTCAAGGCTTACCTCATGGATATGAGAATGATAGCTAGTTCCCTCTTGTTATCATTGCTACATCATTTATTGAGCTTTTTTCCATTGTCTTTTGTTTTTCCCTTTATTTTATTTTATTTTATTTTTTTATTTTTTTATATCCCCCTCCAGAAATTAATTCATCAAATGTTATATTCATTTGAAGCATAGAAAAACACATGTAACAGAAGACTTGCAAGAAGAACCAAATCATTTTGTTGGACTTCTCATACTAACTCAGCAGATTAATTTAAATACACTCTCTAGTTCTTATATTCACACTAATCATCATGAAAGAATTCAAGGGTGTACAAGAGCATTAACATAAAAAGAAAAAAAGGAAAAAAAAAGCACATAAACAACAGAATTGTAACTCAATAGATTTTGTTTCAATTGATAGTTAGTTCTGAGGAGACAACAGACAACAAAATTGTAACTGAAAAGGGAAGATTAGAAGATAAAAACAAAAACACAACCAAACAGACTTATGGATTTTGGTTCAATTGATAGTTCTAAGGACATACCAGATCAACAGCTTCCTTGTTGACGGCATCAAGGGCAATCGATTTATCATCCACTCCCATGTCTCCGTCAGCTCCAACTCTCCGCCCACCAAGTTTTTCGTAAAGAAGCTGCATTGTTTCAGTTACTTCAAATGAATCCTGAATTCCTCTCTTTCATACACAATTCTCCCAGCAACAACTTTAGCTCACAGTGTATTTATTTTGAATTTTTTTTCAATATTTGTTTTAGAATCTTTTTTTTCCAAGAATGATATCAATGCGGCATTATATATGATTGTGATAAAATCCCTTAAGTTCAAATTTCATTTTTATTTTCTTAATATCATGATGGGATTGTCCTGTGATCATTTCTAAATGATTCTAAACAAGAATGACCAAGAGAAATTTTGCCTCTAGAGGTTAAAGAGGGTGAGACTTTTAGCAAATTCTACATTCTAAGCTCTTTGTTGAAGCTTCATCTTTAAACTTGCAGACTAATAAGAAATGAGAAAATAATATGTCATTCACACCACTTTGATCTTTAGGCTTACATCTATTTATAGTTCATACATGAGAGTTGGTTCAGAAGTTGTTACAACAAATTCTAACTAACTGAACAAACTCTAAACTAACTAAACAAACTCTAAACTAACAGATACTAACTGAATCTACACTGTGGCTGTTGCTGACTTCAGATTCTGTTTCAGATTCTGTTGCATACTCTGGTTCTCATCAGTACCCCTCAAGATGATGGGGCGAGGAAGCACTAGAAGCTTGGATTTAAGATAGAGAAACCGAGGAGAAGAAAGGGGCTTAGTAAAGATATCAGCAATCTGATCATCAGTAGCAATATAAGCCAAAGAAATTTGTTTAGAGACCACTTTTTCCCGAATGAAAGACAGTCCACCTCTATGTGTTTAGATTTAGAATGAAAACGGGATTGGAGGCTAAGGCCATAGCAGAAACATTGTCACACCATAACACAGGTACAGCAGAAGTAGGAACATATAACTCTTTGAGCAATTGTTGAAGCCAACAAATTTCGGCTGTAGTGTGAGCCATAGACCTATATTCAGCCTCGGTGGAAGATCTGGACACTGTGGGTTGTTTTTTAGAGGACCAAGAAATAAGATTAGAGCCAAGATAGATACAAAAACCAGAAGTAGAGCGTCTATCAGTGCAATCCCCGGCCCAATTGGAATCATTAAAGGCATGAAGATCATAAGACCCTCTTGTGAAAGTAAGACCATGAGAAACAGTGCCTTGAAGATATATGAGCAGGCGTTTAACAAGAGCAAAGTGAGCATTAGTTGGGGCTTGCATATGCTGACACGCTTGATTGACAGTAAAGGCAATGTCAGGGCGGGTGATGGTTAAGTATTGTAAAGCACCAACGATGCTTCTGTAAAAGGAAGGCTGAGCATAAGGAAGCACATCAGTGGAGGAAGGACCAGCAGAAGACTTCGGAGCAATAGGTGTGGAGCATGATTTACACTGAAGCATACCAGCTTTATGGAGCAGTTCTTGTGCATATTTGTGCTGAGATAAAAAGTAACCAGTGGAAAGAGCTTGAACAGAGATGCCTAAAAAATATGAGACATCTCCGAGTTCCTTCATGGAAAAGGCCACATGCATCTGAGCAAGTAATGCTTGAATCAAAGTAGGATCACTTCCAGTTAGCAGAATGTCATCAACATAAATGAGCAAAATAGTGATACTAGTAGAGGTCTTTTTTACAAAGAGAGAAGGATCAGAATAACTATGACAGAAACCTTGAGTAAGTAAGAAAGACGAGAAGGTGGAGTACCAAGCTCGAGGAGCTTGCTTGAGGCCATATAAAGCTTTGTGCAATTTGCACACATGATGAGGAAAGGTGGAATCAACAAAACCTTGAGGTTGTAACATATATACCTCTTCATCCAACTTACCATGTAAGAAAGCATTGGAGATGTCCAACTGCTTGAGAGGCCACTGATTTTGAAGTGCAAGACATAAGAGAATCCTAATAGTTGGTTGCTTGGCAACAGGACTAAATGTTTCATCATAATCGATTCCTTCTTGTTGCAAGTAGCCCTTTGCAACTAAGCGAGCCTTGTAACGAGCAATGGTACCATCTAAATTTTTTTTAATACGAAACACCCACTTGCAGCCAATAGCAGATTTGGTAGAAGAAGGAGGAACAAGGGTCCAAGTACCTTGTTTATGGAGAGCTTGAAACTTCTCTGTCATAGCATTAAGCCATATAGGAGAAGTTAAAGCTTGAGTAGCATTCTGAGGCTCAGTACAAGTAAGATCAACTGGAGGAGTGTGAGTAAGATGATAAGAAGGAGCTGCAAGGTGCTGAGAAAGAGAAGAAGCTTTGGACCGAGTAGTCATAGGATGAGTATTACAAGAAGTTGAGTGAGAAGGAAGAGGTGGCAGATGAATAGAAATAGATTCAATAGGAATAGAAGAAGAAATAGGAACAGCAGTGGAAGCATCCGGAAGAGCAGAAGTAGCAGGTGCTGTAGGGACTGCAGGAAACACAGCAGCAGGGGTTGTAGGAACAGAACTGGTAGAAGGTGCTGGAGGGACTGCAGGAAGCACAACAGCAGGTGTTGTAGGAATAGAACTGGTAGAAGGAGCTGAAAAAGATGAGGAAAGGACAGGCGGGTGAGGTTTGGTAGAGGTGGTAGACTGAGAAGAAGGCCAGAAAAATGATGTAAGATTAAGTAGAGTAGGAGAAGTACGTGTATGAGTAACAAATGGGAAGCAAGACTCATTGAATAAGACATGTCTAGACAAAAATATTTTGCCAGTAGAAGGATCCAAACACCGGTAACCTTTAGTGGAAGGATGGTAGCCTAAGAAAACACAAGGTGAAGATCTTGGTTGAAGTTTATGATCAATATAAGGTCGAAGCCATGGAAAACATTGGCAACCAAAGACTTTGAAAAATTCATAATCTGGAAGAGCATGAAAGAGTAACTGAAAAGGTGATTTATGACGAAGAGACAAGCTAGGCATCCTATTTATAAGAAACACAGCTGTAGCTAGAGCTTCAAACCAGTAGGTAAGAGGCATGCTAGAGTGATGCATCAGTGCAATAGCTGTCTCAACAATGTGTTGATGTTTTCTCTCTACAATGCCATTTTGTTCTGGAGTATAAGGATAAGTGAGATGATGGAGAATACCATTTTCAGCAAGATATCTATCCATTTGATGATTAACAAACTCAGTTCCATTATCAGTTCTGAGAATTTTCAAGACTGTATCAAATTGTTTTTCCACATAAGCTTTAAACAAAAGAAAGGTGGAAAAAACTTCACTCTTAACATAAAGAGGATAGATCCAAGTAAATCTTGTGAAATCATCAACAAACAAAAGATAGTATTTATAACCATTGAGAGAGGCATTAAATGGTCCCCAAACATCACTATGCACAAGAGAAAAAGGCTTATTAACAGTAGAAGTAGACAACTTGAAAGGCAACCTATGTATCTTAGCAACACTACAAGAAGTGCAAGCTAATGAATTACAATCTTTATTTGATAGGGGTCCAGGTAAGTATTGAAGAAGGTGATGAAATTTTAGTGCGGAAGGATGACCAAGTCTTTGATGCCAGGTAGATACAGAGACTTGAGATTTTGCTTGAGCAACATAAGCTTGAGGAATCAGGGAAGAGGATGAATCAGCAAAATGATAGAGTCCATGAATATTAGGTCCTTTATGCAGAACCTTGTTCGTATGCTTGTCCTGAACCACAAAGGAGTTAGAATCAAATGTAACTGAACAATGATTATCCTTGGTGATTTGATGAACAGACAAAAGATTAGAAGAAATGTTAGGCACATTAAGAAGATTATTAAGAGAAAAGGAATACTGAGGAGTAGGAAGTAATCCCTTATCAATGTGTTGAATAGGAACAGTCTGACCATTACCAACAGTGACATGGTCTGAGCCTTGGTAAGGTTGAAAGAGTTGAAGATTAGCCAAATCATTGGTGATATGATTGGTTGCAGCAGAGTCTATGTACCACGGAGTGGATGAAGCAGATGGAGTAAAAGAGTTATTAGAAGAAGACTGATTTGCAGTGGCAGCGTAAGCATGAGGTGGAAAAGACTGAGAATTAGATGGACCATAAGCCTGAGGAGGCTGATACGTGGAATCCATACGAAACCAACAATCAAAAGCACTATGGTTATGACCTCCACAGATTTGACAACCAGAGTAAGAATAAGAAGTATTGCCCGAATGACTATCATGTCTGTTATCAAATCTCCCTGACTGTCCTCTATATCGACCTCCTCTGCGATACCTTCCATTTCCTCTGTATCTTCCTCCTCTATTGCCACGAAATTGATATCTACCTCTATGGCTAGATGAATATCCTCTAGTAGATGAAGGATATGAAGCAGATCCAGATGCAGAGTCAGTAGTGACAGCACAGGCCATTGGTAAATCACTCATAAGTACATGTTTAGTTTTATTTTCAACATGGATTGCTTCAGAACACAGCAGGGAACTCAAGTCTGTCATAGTAATCGCCTCTGCTCTGGCACGAATAGTAGTTTTCAAAGCTGCATATTCATCTGGTAATCCGTTGAGTGTGATCAGAACCAGATCTTCATCTTCAACCGTAGCTGATACAAGACTAAGTTGATCTGCAATATTGTGAATCTGAGTCAAATATTCCTCCATTGAGAGACCTTTCTTGGTGACTGATTGAAGTTTATTCTTCAATTGATGTATGTGAGATCGAGAGAGTGAGGTAAATCTCTTCTCTAAAGTACTCCAAACTTGAGCACAGTGTTGACAATGAAGAACTGTGGAGAACACAGAGGAGGAGAGAGTTGCAGTAATGCAACTTAACAAATGTGCATCAATGATCTTCCATCTTGCAAACTCTAGATTTTCAATAACTTTTCCAGATGGATCAAGAATCTGTGGAGCTGGACATGGAATCACTCCAGTTACAAAATCAAACAACTCTGTAGCTCTAAGCACATTCTGAAGCTGATGTTTCCAGATAAGAAAATTAGAAGAATCAAGTTTCACTGTTACTAGAGACTAAAAATTTGAAATCAGTAAACTAAGATTTGGTGGTAGAGAAGATGATGAAACTGCCATGACTGAATCTTGCTCGTGAGAGCTGTATGGCTCTGATACCATAATAAGAAATAAGAAAATAATATGTCATTCACACCACTTTGATCTTTAGGCTTACATCTATTTATAGTTCATACATGAGAGTTGGTTCAGAAGTTGTTACAACAAATTCTAACTAACTGAACAAACTCTAAACTAACTAAACAAACTCTAAACTAACAGATACTAACTGAATCTACACTGTGGCTGTTGCTGACTTCATATTCTGTTTCAGATTCTGTTGCATACTCTGGTTCTCATCACAGACCTAACAACCATACCAGATGAACCAATTTTATATAAGCCATCAAGATTGAGTAT